CAGGCGCGGCTGGGGGCCAGCTGGTGGCGTGGTGGTGAAGGCGGCTGGATCTCACATGGCCGACTGTGTGGTTCGGGTCCTGGACCTGGTCGCTTGAAAAACATGCAGGGCATATGTGTGTGCGTGAAATCCTGAGAGGAAAACGGAAGAGAAGGGGTTGCAGCGTGGTATTCTGGGTAGTTCTCTCTCTCTCTCTCTCTCTCTCTGTCTCTCTCTCTGGCACGTGCATGCACCCTAGCAGAATTTTTTATATATAAAGGCTTGGCTGGAAGGCCGGATGCCCCCATTATACAGATAGGGAAACTGAGCCCAGGGTGCAGGTTGGAGCTTACACAGAGTTGCCCCTGGGGGAAGGAGCTGGATTTCTGACTCTGGCCTCAGTCTCCCCACCGGAGAGACAGGTCACCTTCCTAGCAGCCTCCCCTGCGGGAAGGGCACTCAGGGCCTTGGGGCTGGGCCAAGGGCCAGGCCCAGTCAGCGGGGTTGGTGTGACCGCTGGTCACCCCGGCCACCGCCTGAGAACTCTGGCCCTGTGTGCCCATCTGTCCCCTGCCTCTGCCTCCCTGTATCCCGTTAGTGTCCCTGAAGTCCCTCTGAGGCCTCCTCACACTTGTTCCCCATCTGGGCGTGGAGGGGCCTGCTCTGTCGCCTACCCTCGGCCGTCATAGCTCCTGCCTGCTGCTTGAATGTCTTGTGTGTGTTTAATTTACTATAGGACGTGTGCACTGGCTGGAGAGACAGGAGGGACAGGGGGAGGGAGACAGCACCTCCCAGGGATGGCCACTCTATAGTCCCCTCTCCTTTGTCCTCTTGGGATTTGGGGCATGCTCATGCACCCTGTGCATTTTTCAAGCTACCGGATCTGGGGCTCGAACCATGCAGTCAGCCATGTGGGATCCAGCTGCCTTAACCACCATGTCACCTGTTGACCCTCAACTCCCTTTTTTTTTTAAGAGGTTTTTGCTATAGGGTGTGTGCACTCTCCAGAAAGAGAGAGACAGAGAGACAGAAAGCGAGAAATCATCCCCCAGGGGAGATGGCCACTCCGCAATCCCTTCCCCTCCATTCTCCTCTAGGGATCTTGGGCAGGCACGCACATGTGCCCGGCGTGAATTTAAGCCACCGGGTCCGGGACTCGAACCACGGTTGACTACATTGGAGTCCAGCGACATAGCCGTTATGCTCACTGCTGGTTCCCCAACTCCCTTTAAAAAAAAATTTGCCAGGGGCTGGCAGGTGGCGTGGTGATTAAAGGCGCTGGACTCCCACATGGCCAACCACAGTTCGAGTCTTGGACCTGGGGGCTTGCTCTCTTTCTCTTTCTTTCTCTCTTCTCTCAGCAATTAAAAAATAATAATCACAAATAAAATTCAATACATATTTTTAAAAAATAATAATTCTTTAAGGGGCTGGCAGATGGTGTGGTGGTTAAGGGCACTGGACTCCCACATGGCTGACCACGGTTCGAGTCCCGGATCTGGCAGCTTGCTTTCTCACTTTCCCTCTCTCTCTCGCTCTGTCTCTCTCTCTCTGGTTAATTTGAAATAAATAAATAAAATAAATTAAAGGATAATAACATAGTTCTTTAAAATCAAAGAAATCATTCTTTTTTTCATTTTTTTTTTGGCCCGAAGGTGTGTGCACTCACCGGAGAGGGAGAGGGAGAGGGAGAAGGAGAAAGCACCGCCCTCTCCCTAGGGGAGCGAGGTCACTCGCCATGCCGTACCCTCCGTTTTTCCATCTTGTCTGGATTCGGGGATACACAGCCACTCGGGCTGGGATTCACACCATGTCATCGGCCACGTGGGATCTGTCTCCCTTAACCACTGGGCCATGGGGCCTGCCCACCCGGGTGGCCGCTGACCCCAGACCCTGAGCCACTTTCCTGCTGTCTGGGTGCCGGGGGGCTCGTTCGTGCCGCCCTGCTCCTGGGGGCCCTGGGGGGGCCTGTGTGGCCCCAGAATTATCAAAGGAAGTTATTAAACCCATATGCATACTAAGCATTGTCTGTAAAGTGAAAGAATAATTTACCCACATGTGTACTTGTATTCTTAAAATGTTTTAGATGTGCTATAATCGTAAAATACAAATCTGAGGTTTTTCATCATTATATGGGTCTCAAAACACTTTAAAAATGCAAGCACCATTTTGTGGAGGTCATCCAACATCTCTGACTTTAAAAGACTATGGTGTGGGGCCAGCAGGTGGCATGGTGGTTAAAGCACTGGACTCCCACATGGCTGACCACGGTTCTAGTCCCATGGTCAGCTTGCTTTCTCTCTTTCTCTCTCTCTCTGGTCACATTAAAATAAAATGAACAAATAAATAAATTTAAAAACAAAACAAAACAAAAACACACCAGGCACGTGTGGATGCCTCCCACCCAAAATCCCAAAAGAAATGGAGGAGACAGGATTGCGGCGTGGCCATCCCCCCGGGGGGTTGATGTCTCGCTTTCTGTCTCTTTGTCTCTGTCTCTGTCTGGTGAGCACACACACCCTATAGCAAAAACCTCTCCAAAAAAAAAGTAAAGTATCTTCAGTTATTTCTCCCATGAGAGAAAGAAGAGGAACAGCGACAGAGAAATAGGCACCCCTAGAGGGTCCTCATGCCCCAACCCACCCCAAGTTTCAGTGTCTGCCTGGCACGCCCCAGTGTAAACCCAGGACCTTCCCCCTACGGCACAGCCGTGTCCCCACCAAACTACCACGTGACCCTGGATTTCACTTTTTTTTTTTCACACCAAAATACCATTTAATTACATTTTTCAGTACTTTCTTTTTAAAAATACAAAATCTTGCCAGAGGGCACGTGCACTGGGACCTGGTCACGCCACAATCCCTTTTTCACCATTTCTCTATCTTGACTGGATTCTGGCCACACGCGGATATGTGCCCCGTGTGCAAGCCACCGGGGCTGGGATTCAAACCATGGTTGGCCATGTGGAATCTGACCTTAACCACCAGACCACCGGGCCAACCCTCGGGGGGTCGGCCATATAGGATCCAGCTGCCTTAAACACTGCCCCATTGGCTGGTCCCTGTTTCATGCACTTGTTTTTTTTTATTGTTTAACTTTATTTATTTATTTTAATATGACTAGAGAGGGACAGAGTGAGCGAGAGAGAGAGGGCATACAAGTGAGAAAGCAAGTCACCAGGTCCAGGACTCGAACCGTGGTCAGCCGCACAGGAGTCCAGCATCCTTAACCACCACGCCACCTGCTGGCCCCTCCATGCGCTGTTTGGAGTCCCTTGTCTAGGTAGTGAGGCAGGAAGCAGGGCCGTGTTGCCCCAGGAGCCCCAGTGAGGCCAGGAATGGTGGCAGAGGTGGGACAGTATTGGGGGACAGTGTGTCCAGAGCAGACCCGCAGACCCCCAGCCCACTCCTGCCAGGTCCCCCGAGTTCTACGAGGAGTTCAAGCTGCGTCTTCCGGCCTGTGTGACCGAGAACCATCACCTCCTCTTCACCTTCTACCACGTCAGCTGCCAGCCCCGGCCGGGCACAGCCCTGGAGACGCCTGTGGGCTTCACTGTGAGCCTCCCTCCTGGGTGCCCCTCTCCCTCGGCCCCTCCAGCCTGGCCACACCCCTGACTCCCCATCTCTCCCCAGTGGATCCCCCTGCTGCAGCATGGCCGCCTGAGGACCGGCCCCTTCTGCCTCCCCGTGTCCGTGGACCAACCCCCACCCAGCTACTCCGTGCTCACACCCGACGTACGTGCCTGGGCCCCGTGCCTGTCCCCAGCCGCTCCCAGCAATATGCTGGCCACCTGTCCCCACCGCCTAAGCATTCCCAGTTCTCTCGTGCCCCCCGTGGAGCCTGCCTTTCTCCCCATCAACGCCCCGAAGCCTCGTCACCCTCTGTGGTTGCCTCGAGGGTCCCTGCCTACCTTGTCACCCACTCGGTGTGTCCTGCTGTCCCTGCGTGTCCCTCGCTGCCTCCCCCCGGATCCCACTTCGCATTCCCAATTCTCTCGTGCCCCCTGTGGAGCCTGCCTTTCTCCCCATCAATGCCCCGAAGCCTCGTCACCCTCTGGTTGCCTCGAGGGTCCCTGCCTACCTTGTCACCCACTCGGTGTGTCCTGCTGTCCCTGCGTGTCCCTCGCTGCCTCCCCCCGGATCCCACTGCCACTCATTCCATTTCTCCCGTAGCAGTCCCTGCCGACCTCCCCAGTCGCTGGCCCTGCGGCGGTGACCCCCGGGCCTTGCCTGCCTGATCACCCACATCCAAGCTCGTCACCCTCCCTTGCTGTTCATGAACACGCTGAGCACCCCGCGTGTTCATTTCTCTTCTGCATTAATGTTTCCAATGTCTACACCCCATTAACACCTGGTTCTAGATAGCGTGTCCCTGGGCTGGGGGCAGGGCGCCTGGCTGCTCCCGCGGGCTGGCCTGGTTCAGGTCACAGTGTTGCAATGGCAGGGCTGTCCAGTGGCCTGACCCATGAGAGAGGGTTGGCCCGTGCACTCCCTGCACGTCTGTCCTGAAGGTGGCGCTGCCGGGCATGCGCTGGGTGGACGGTCACAAGGGCGTATTCAGCGTGGAGCTCACGGCTGTGTCATCCGTGCACCCCCAGGTACGGAGTGCAATGGGGACCCCTCCTGCCTGCACTGGGATTGGGCAACAGGGAGGCCTGGCTGGCCTTGCCGGGGCAGTGGACGTGACTCGAGTCAGCTGGGCGAGGACAGCCGGGCGAGAATCACAGGAAAGCTGCTGACTCAGGCGGTGGTGGCCTGAATCTCGCCGGGCCCGGGCCCTGCCCCGCTCACTCCACATCCCCACGTAGGACCCGCACCTGGACAAGTTCTTCACCCTGATGTACGTCCTGGAGGAGGGGGCCTTCCCGTTCCGCCTCAAAGACGCCGTGCTGAGCGAGGGCACGGTGGAGCAGGAGCTGAGGGCCAGCCTGGCCGCCCTGCGCCTGGCCAGCGCCGAACCCCTCGTGGCCTTCTCCCACCACGTGCTAGACAAGCTCGTGCGTCTGGTAGTCCGGCCCCCGATCATCGGGGGTCAGATGGGTGAGTCTGGCCTCAGCTTCCCAGACTCAAAAGTGCCCTCTCTGTCCCCTGATCCTGGGTCACCTCCTCCACCCCATCTCTCTCTCGGACGTCAGCTTTCCCTTCTGAAGAATGGACCCCACCAGGTCCTCTGCGCACCCACCCTTAATGGTCACGTGACTCCCTCGGAGCCTAAAGTCTTTCTCTGGAAGGCAGGTGGGGCGGTGAGAGGCCTTGGGCCCTGGAGGTTGACCTCTGTCCTGCCTGACAGTGAACCTCGGCCGCGGGGCCTTTGAAGCCATGGCCCACGTGGTCAGTCTGGTGCACCGGAGCCTGGAGACCGCCCAGGATGCCCGTGGTCACTGCCCGCTGCTGGCTGCGTATATCCACTATGCCTTCCGACTGCCTGGGGCCGAGCCCAGCCTCCCGGGTGGTGAGTGGTGATAGGAAGCCTTGGAGACAGACTACCTGGGAGAAGGGCTTCCTGGATTAGCATGGGCAAGGGGCCTGAGGCCACGCAGTCCTTGGCTGCTGTAGGCAACTCGAAAGACCGGATTTTGCCCAATTTTTCCCCATCTGCAGGGGTGTGGTCTCTGTACATTTGACTGACGGTTGTTCAGCTAGTGAGCAAGCACTTTTTGTTGTTTATTTATTTATTTATTTAAAGTTGACCAAAGAGAGACAGACAGAAAGGGAAAGTGAGAAAGCAAGCTGCCAGATCCGGGACTCGAACCGTGCGTGGTCAGCCATGTGGAAGTGTCCGGTGCCTTAACCACCACGCCACTGGTTGGCCCCAGCAAGCACTTTTAGTGACTCGGAACAGAGGCTCAGATTAGGCTGTTTAGGTTTGATTCCTGGTTCTGCTGCCTGCAAGCTCTGGGCAAGTGACTTCACCTCCATGAGCCTGTTTTCCCTCTTTTTTTTTTCTTCTTTTTTAAAAGAATTATTTTATTTAACTTTATTTATTTAATTAATTTATATTCATTTGACCAGAGTGAGAGAGAGAGAGAAAGTGAGAAAACAAGCCACCAGGCCCAGGACTCAAACCATAGTCAGCCATGTGGGAGTCCAGTGCCCTTAACCACCACGCCACCTGCCGGCCCCTGTTTTCCCTTTTGTAAAACGGGAGTAATAGTACCCTCCTCGGGAGCATTGGTGATAATAAAAGGCACAGCAGTGCCTGCGAAACGCTCAGTGCCTTATTTCCAGTCTCCCCCCAAGTTGCTCTAAAGCAGTAATCATTATCATACCCTTTTTGCATTTTGGAGAGATTTTCGCTGTAGGGTGCGTGCGATCCCAGAGAGAGACAGAAGACAAGAAATCACTCTTGAGAGAGGCTGGCCATCCCGCAGTCCCTTCTCCTCCATTCTCCTCTCGGGATTTTGGGCACGCACGCACACACGCCCGGTGTGAATTCCAAGCTGCCATGTCAGGGACTTGAACCCCAGTCAGCTATGTAGAGTTCAGCACCTCACCCACTACGCCATGTGCTGGCCCCATCATGCCCGTTTTATGGGTGAGGTAGATGGAGGCTCAGGGAAGGGCCCGATGAGGAGGGGCTGGGGGTCATCGGGACAGGGGCAGAGGCTGATCCCATCTCTGTCACCCTCAGGGGCCCCTCCAGTGACGGTGCAGGCGGCTCCGGCCGCCCCGCGAGCCTCTACCTGGCCCGCTCCAAGAGCATCAGCAGCAGCAACCCTGACCTCGCCGTGGTCCCCGGCTCCGTGGACGATGAGGTTTCCCGGATCCTGGCCAGCAAGGTAGGGCACGGGGAGCCCTGACTGTCAGTGGGTCTGGAGCCTCACTGTCGTCGGAGGACAGGAACCAGCAGAGACCACGACATGGATGAAGGCTTGATGCTGGGCAGTGGGTGTGGGCAGTGGCCCGTGCTGCCGGGAGGCCACGTGTCAGACAGGGTGCTGGGCTCAGGCCTCCACGACTGACACAAGGTGGTGGGGGGAGCTGGGTGTGGGTAAGCAGAAAGCAGCGTGGGCCAGGACGGCAGGTGCGTGCATGCACCCCATGGATGCTTGTACACCGGTACATATGCACACACCCCATGCACGCATATACACATGTGCCCCGTGCACATACACACACACCTACACAGACATGTAATATACATGTGTCCCCTGCAGGCACGTGCACTAATTACACACATGCAGCCACACACCTATATGTGTGTGCCAATACGCATGTCCCACCTGCACATATGTGTGCACATGGATCCCATGGAACACATACACGAAGGCATGTACACACAGTCCATGCACATTCACAAGTGTGCATATGTAGACACAACACATGCATACACATGGATACATATATGCATGCACCCTGAACATACGTACACTAGCACATGCATGCATGCCACACACATGCATGAATACACACATGTGCCCCTGCACACCTGTGCACTAATGCACATACACACACCCCGTGCACAGATGTACACTAATGCATATGTGCTCATGTGCCTTGTGTGTACATACATGAATGCATATTCACGCATGTGCCCCTGCACATGTACACGAATGCAGACATATACCCAATTCACATACATACATGAATGCATATGTGCGTGTACCTTTTGTACACACATACACTGGTGCATATACATACACACCCTGTGTACACACATGCACATGTGTGTGCACTCCTGCACACATGTATTACATAAATGCGTAACCCATGCACATGCATACACGAATGTAGATTTGCCCGTGCCCCTGGACACACAGACACTAATGCATATACACACTCCACCGTGCACACCTACACAGGTGCACATATACATACACTGCATGCCCACATGTACACGAGTGCATATACCCATGCAACCCTTGCACACATGTATGAGGTGCATATATGCGTGCACATACATTGCAGGCACATGCTTACACCCGTATGCACAGGTACACACACGCCCTGCACATTCGTGCACAGGTGTGTACCTCCATGTGCCCTGTGGACGTATGCCGGTGCATATACGCCTGCACACGGGCCCACCCCCTTGGGGTTTCCCACTGCTTCCCACCGTCCCCTGGGAATGCTCCACTCATGCGTGTGTCTGCAGGGCATCGATCGCTCACACTCCTGGGTGAATTCTGCTTACGCTCCGGGCGGCAGCAAGGCTGTGCTTCGGCGAGCGCCCCCCTCCTGTGGGGCTGACCCCAGACAGGTGCCCTCCCCACCCACCTGCCCCTGCACGTGTGTGACACCACCTCAGCACGAGTTCCTCCCACCTGCCTGGCTGTGTCCGACTAACCCTGAGGGGCTGCCTGAAGGAGGTGGCAGACCTCCTGCCTCAGTCTGGGGCTGTGGAATCTGTCTTGTAAGCATCACTGGGTCATTGTAATCAGCCTTTTGCTGCTACATACACCACAGCTTCCGGCAGAGACAGAAGGCTGAGGATATGCAAATAGCATGCAAATGACACGCAAATCCCACCACCTGCAACCTCACTGCCCGGCATGGCCTATCCCCTCCCTTTTTATTTTTAATTATTTTATTTCACTTTATTTATTTATTTTGATTTTACCAGAGAGGGACAGATAGGAAGAGGGGAAAATGAGAAAGCAAGATGCCAGGTCCGGGACTCAAACCACAGTCAGACATGTGGGAGTTCAGTGCCTTAACCACCACGCCACCTGCTGGCCCCAGCCTGCCTCCCCTTGTAATCCACCTCTATGCAGGTGACTCACCTATCCCCTTGGCCTAGCGAACTGAATGGTGTCAAGGGGACAGAACCGAACCTCTGGGCTTCCCCGTCCCATTTTGGACAAACAGTAGCCCCTTCCCTGCCTCTTTCTGGGCACCTCGTGTTGAGCATGGGCTTTGCCTCCAGGTGGGTCTGGGTTCAAGTCCTGGAACAGGCTCACCCTGAGCCCCAGACACTTGGCTATGTCTTGCTTAGCCTCAGTTTCCTCATTCATAAAGTGAAGAGACCATTTCCAGATTTCTAGATGTGGTAAAAGACCCAATGAAAGGTGTCCCGTGTCACTGTCCGTGACCTCGGGTTAGGGTTGAGGGCATCGCAGGTGGGGCGAGGGATCTCACGGTGCAGCCAGTGAGGGAAATGGTGTGGGTCAAACAAATGCCCATGTGTCATTGCACGGCGCGGACAGTGCCTGGAAGGAGCAGAAGTGGAGGCACTGCCCTCCTCTGAGTAGTCTGGGGGGACCTCTCAGAGGAGGTGACATTTTAGGGGGATCTTGAAAGGTAAAATGGAGCCAGCCAGGGAAGGGTGGGTAAGTGTTCCAGGCAGAGGGAACAGCATGGGCAGAGCTCAGAAGACCCCAGGCTTTTATGGCTGACAGCCCCATCTGGTGTGTGCTAAGGTGTAGGGTGTGGCCAAGACTCAGAGCTGGAGGGTCCCCCAGGGCCAGCACCTGGACAGGTCCCTGGAGCCGACCCGCTCCATCATTAGACCAGCAGCCTTGCCTCTGGACCAGCGAAGGAGGTGGGGAGGGTGGGTCTTGAGTTCTCTACACCCACTTCACAGATGGGAACACGGAGGCTGGAGCAGGCCAGGCCCGGCACCCAGGGCCCTCTCGGCTGCGCCCATTACCTCGCATCATCATGTCATGTCTGTCCTGCTTCCTTCCTGTCTCTCCTCCTTCCCCTCCATCTGACCCCCATCTCCCCGTTTATTTATTTATTTATTTTATTATTTTGGGGGGAGAGTTTTTGCTATAGGGCACGTGCACTCACCAGAAAGCCAGAGAGAGACAGAGAGACAGAAAGTGAGAAATCGTCCCCAGGGGGGGCCGGCCACGCCACAATCCCTTCTCTTCCATGTTCCTCTTGGGATCTTGGGCACACATGCACACGCGCCCGGCGTGAGTTTAAGCCACCAGGTTAGGGACTCAAACCGCGGTCGACTACGTGGGAGTCCAGTGACATAGCCATTACGCTAACTGCTGGTCCCCTCCCCTTTAATTTTTAGATAGATTTTTGCTATAGGGCATGTGCACTCAGACAGAGAGACAGAAAGTGAGAAATCACCCCCCAGGGGGGATGGCCACACCTCGGTTTCTTTCTCCTCCATTCTCCTTGTGGGATTTTGGGCACACATGCACCTACGCCCAGCATGAATTTCAGGCTGCTGGATCTAGGACTCAAAACTGCATTCAACTACGTGGGAGTCCAGCGATGTAATCATTATGCCACCTGCTGTTCCCATTGACCCCCAGCCCTTTTTATTTATTGATCTAATTTTATTTATTATTATTATTAATCCACCAGAAGTGGGTAGAGAGTGAGTGAGAAAGCAAGCTACTAGGTCTGGGTCTTGAACCGTCGTAGGCCATGTGGGAGTCTAGCGCCTTAACCACTATACCACCTACCTGCTGGACTGACTGTTTCAAAATATTTTTTAAAGATTGATTTATTTTATTTTATTTCTTCTTTTTCTCCTTCTAATTTTTTAATTTGCCCAGAGAGAGAAAAGGAAAGTGAGAAAGCAAGCCACTAGGTCTAGGATTCCAACCGTGGTCAGCTATGTGGGAGTCCAGTGCCTTAACCACCACACCACCTGCTGGGCCCTGTTATTATTATTTTTAATTCAACAGAGAGAGAGAGAGCAGGAAAGTAAGATTCCAAGTTGCCAGGTCCGGGACTCGAACCACTGTTGGTCATGTAGGAGTCGTGTGTCCTAACCACTATATCACCTACTGACCTTTCATTTTGCTCTTTAACCCTCTCTGTCTACACTCTCCCCACTCCACCCATTATTCTGGTCCCTCTTCTGCATATCCCTTGTCATCTTCATCCCCTCTGACATTCTCTGCCCCGGCCACACCCGCACACCTACCTACCTTAATAGCTGCCTCCTGCTGCCTGGTCCAGCCCCGCCGCCCTGGCCACCTCCACCAGCCTCTGGCCCCGCCCACCAAGTCCACTTCTCACGCTGCCCGCCCCGCCCCCGGCCGTGCGCTGGAGCAGCGCCGTCCCTGTCGACCCATCTCCCGTCCCCACCTGAGTTCACACACAGACATCCCTTCTCCGTCTGGGATGTCCCATCGCCCTTCCACACTCGTGTCCACATGGGTACGTCTCTGTCCACGCCCACTCATCTGCCACAGGCACGTCTGTCCCCCGTCCACACCGACCCATCTCTTCCCCACCCATGTCTACACAGACACGTCTGTCCTCCACCCTCGCTGACCCATCTCCTTCCTGCATCCACGTCCACGTGGATATGGCTCTTCGCCCCCACCGATCCATCTCCTCCCCTGTCTCGTCCCTGTCCCCACCGCCTCA